GCTTTATAAGTAGGTGGCCTTTCTACAGATCACATTACAAACTTTTTTTTTCATGAAACCAGTTTATCATGACAGTCTTTTACAATATGCAGATCATGTCCAACTGTGGCAGAATTATAGGGCTAAATGAAAGTTGGTGAATTTTTGGATGATTTTAGGTCAAAAAATGATTTTTTTTTTCGATCAGGGAGGGGGTCATACACCCTCTACACCCCACTTGAATCAGCCAATGTCCAAGAAGGAAAGATAACATTACAACCAAAATGAACAGAAAACCTACAAATAATATTTTTTATCAACATAACACTAGACAAATAAATTCCCCAGCTTGCATATTACATTAGAAAGGGATATAACTCAAGAACGGTAAAAGTGACGCTACCCAATTCATACTTGATCTGAGTTTTGTGGTAATAAGCATTGTGTATAAGTTTCATAACTTTTGGTTGAGGCAATCTTAAGTTAGAGAACCGAAACGGAAAATTCAGCAATTACTCCATTTGTAAAGGGGCATAACTCTAGAACAGTAAAAGTGATGACACCAAAATTCAAACTTGATCTGTGTTTGGTGGTAATAAGCATTGTGTACAAGTTTCATAACATTTGGTTGAGGCAAACTTAAGTTTGAGAATGGAAACTAATTTGGGGACATACAGGTAGATGGACAGACGGACGTATAGATAGACAAGGGTAAAATTTAATGCCCCCTCCTAATAAAATTAATAAAATGCTCCGCTGGGGCGCAGCTTGATACGACCGCAGAGGTCGAACCCTGAACAGTTGGGGCAAGTATGGACACAACATTCAAGCTTGATACAGCACTGAATTTGGATTGTAATTAAATATTTGACACAGCATAGGTTTCTGACACAGAATGAAAGTGGTCTAAGAACTTAAAAATTTTTAATTTACCTATAATTGAGTATTCAAACCATATCATTATTATTTGCTTTTATATACAAATCAGAAATAACCAATTTAAAATGGAAAATTTTAAAGAAAAAAAAGGAAAAAAAAAATCCCCCCCCCCAAATTTTTTGAACCCCCTTGTGATTCATCACCCCCAAACTCAATCCCAGCTTTCCCTTTGTGGTATGGTACCTTGCAGTACAATTTCAGAGAGATCCATTCACTTGAACACAAGTTATTGTCTGGAAACTAGAAAAATGCTTGTTTTTTGGCCCCTTTTTGGCCCCAAATTCCTAAACGTTTAGGGCAATTACCCCCAAACTCAAACCCAGCTTTCCCTTTGTGATATGGAACCTTGCAGTACAATTTCATAAAGATCCATACACTTACACACAAGTTATTGTCCTGAAACTAGAAAAATGCTTGTTTTTTTGCCCTTTTATGGCCCCTAATTACTAAAATTTTAAGGGAATTACCCCAAAAATCAATCCCAGCCTTCCCTTTGTGGTATGGTACCTTGCAGTACAATTTCAGAGAGATCCATACACTTGAACACAAGTTATTGTCTGGAAACTAGAAAAATGCTTATTTTTTGCCCCTTTTTGGCCCCTTATTCCTAAACTTTTTGGGCAATTACCCCCAAACTCCATTCCAGCTTTCCCTTTGTGATATGGAACCTTGTAGTACAATTTCGTAAAGATCCATACACTTACAAACAAGTTATTGTCCTGAAACTAGAAAAATGCTTGTTTTTTGCCCCTTTTTGGTCCCTAATTCCTAAAATTTGGAGGAAATTACCCCCAAAATCAATCCCAGTATTCCCTTTGTGATATGGAACCTTGTGATACAATGTCAGAGAGATTCATACACTTACACACAAGTTATTGTCATGAAACTAGAAAAATGCTTGTTTTTGCCCCTTTTTGACCCCTAATTCCTAAAATTTGGAGGCAATTACCACCAAAATCAATCCCAGTATTCCCTATGTGATATGAAACCTTGTGGTACAATGTCAGAGAGATCCATACACTTACACACAAGTTATGTCTGGAAGTTACAAAAATGCTTATTTTTGGCCCCTTTTTGGCCCCTCATTCCTTAACTGTTAGTACCATAACCCCCAAAATCAATCCCCACCTTCCTTTTGTGGTATTGAACCTTATGGTAAAATTTCATTGAGATCCATTCACTTAAACTAAAGTTAGAGTGCGAAAACTAATGTGTCTTCGGACGACGACGATGACGCCAACGTCATACGACCACAAAAATTTTTTTGCAGTCGTATAAAAATAGCAGTAAACTGCTGGCGAGGTTAGTAGCTCCTGCTCAATGTGATATTAATGAAGAAAACTTAAAAAGTCATTTTTTTCAATAATTGTTTTACAAAGTTGTTATTGAGGTGAGTCACTTAATTAACCATATTAAATGTATTTTACCTGCGCAAAATATAAATCAAACATTTTCTAAATATAAATTTCTATACGCTGCCAATAAAAGCAAAAATCTATCAAAAGAAAAAAAAAAGAAAAAAGTTCAGGGAAGGGAAAACAACATAATGGGTTTTTTTTCCTTTTAAAACAGAAAAAATAAGAGACTTGGTATATATTTGATGAAGATGATGCCATTGATAAAAAAAACTGAAATTTACATATCTTTTAATTAAGAAAATAACCTCAGAATAAGTGATTAATCAAATGAAAGCTTTTGCTAAAAGCAGGCCAGTAAAATCTATAATTTTCCACAATACCAAGAAGATTCAATACTGGAGTTTTTATAAATATCAACAAGATTTAATACAGGAGTTTTTATAAATATCAATAAGATTTAATATGGGAGTCAGTAATCATCTTACAATTGAATTAAAAAAAAAAACATGAAGGCATAATTCAATCAATACCACTTGAGAGTTAAAACATTATTCATATTTTTTCTTACAAAAATCAATTAAGAAAATCCACAATGTAACTGTTTTGCCAAGTAAAATGATAAGACCAGCTAATATTAGAAAGCAACTTTTCTTCGTGTCAATTACACTGACTTTCATGGCATTAATTTGGTTGAGTTTATTAAATTGAATTGCTGTCTGTAATTGGTCGTGTATTTTTTTGTCCACCATTGTCAAAAGAATTGTAGAAACGTGAACTGTAATTAGATAACATATGAAGCCTTTATTGAAGAAGAAAACAGCAGGTCAACAATAAAATGTGTTTTTTCTGCTGAACCTTGAACTGTAGGTTAAGGAGGTCAATCTACAAAGATTTTACACCACTCATCCATTGACAATTATCTTCAGGGTAAATAGCAATTAAGTCAAGACAAACAAACATTATAGGAAGTGATTTGTTTTATATGAAACTGTTGAGGCAGTTTTGTCTTAATTTTTTAATATGAATCAGTATGTTAGTTTTCTCATTAGAATTGTTTTTAACTTTTGTCATATCAGTGCTTTAAAAGCTGACAATATGTGGTATAGGTTTTGAACATTGTTGAAGGCTGTACAGTGGTACTTGCTTACATCCTTGCTTTTAAGCTATCTCATTCTTACTCATACCACATCTCCTTATCTTTAAACAGCACAAAACTCTATTATACTACTTAAAAAGGTGTATGCACTAGATGGTAATACGCTTAACCCCATTCCATTCTGCATGTACTTGTCCCAAGTTAGAAGCCTGTTATTCAGTGGTTGTCGTTTGTTGCTGTATATCATATTTGTTTTTTGGTTTGTACAAAAATCAGGTCATTAGTTTTCACGTTTCAATTGTTTTACATTTGTCATTTCGGGGCCTTTTATAGCTTACTGTGTGCCATATGGGTTTTGCTCATTGTTGAAGGCCATACAGTGACTTACAGTTGCTTACTTTTACATCATTTGTTCTCTTGTGGAGAGTTGTCTCATTGGCAATCATACCACATCTTCTTAATTTTTATATCAAAACTGTATTGGATTGGAGAAAATGTTCAGTTCCTCTGGCTCCCTATGGCTCAGAAACATAACAGTAAAGAAAAATATGTTACACATTACTGAATTATCTTATCAAGAGAAACGCATATACTCATGGAAGTTATTTTCATTTATTCTAAAACTTTTTATGAATTTTTTCCAAAAAAAAACATTTTAAAAAGACAGGATCATATTTTTCTTGTTATCAGTAAATCTAAAAATCTGTACTTGAGGCCTGTGTTATATGTCTTGTATCTTCTCCAATGTTTACACTAATTTTTACCTTGCATTAAAATTCCACAGTTAATGTTTACTCAACAGTTATGATGGTAAAATACCTATGTCAGCTGTGGAATTATATGTATGCAATTTTCAGAAGACAGTCAGACAGATGTTTTGTGAACCATCATGAAAGTCTGATTCTTGCCATTTTCTAAATTGAGGAATAAACATGTTTCTTGAAAAAAAGAAAGTCTGACTTGTATTATTTCTAAATTGTATGCCAAATTAGAACTTCCATCATACTTGACTCTAGATCTTGTGTTTGCTGTTAGAATTTTATTGATGATCTTGAAGGCCATAGAGTGACCCATAGTTGCTTATATCAATGCCCTTTAGTCTCTGGTCCTTATATTTAGGTATGTTTCATTTGTTAAAGCCCTAACTACATATCTTACTTTCCATATTCATGGTGTTTCACCACATAAGACTTAAAATTGTTTAGTCATCAATTTACAAAATGAGAGGTGTCAAACAGGGAGCAGAAACAGCTTCCCCTTTCAGCATTAACAAATCGCTAATATTGAGGTTTGTGTTACTCATGATCAAGATAAAGTTATATGTGCAGATTACTGCTGTCTTTTGATTGTTTCTTTTCTTTTTCTTTCTTTTTTTTTTGGAGGGGGGGAGGGGGGGGGGGGGTTGTGATAGTAATTAATTTGCCATTAAACCATTTTAATTCTTTAATTGGAGTGAAACATCTGTTTAGACATATCAGTCATTGCAGAATTACAGATGACAGATACCCACTACAAATACCATTATTTAAACCTGTATTTTACTTGATCCCATACTGCTTGAACCAACATACAGCTTGTGCCATGTTTTGAATCTACCAGCTACAGGTATCTACACACTGTAAACTTACCTGCAAATTTTGGATTGTTTTCATCAATAGACCAGAAACAGTGATCAAAGGCAAAAGTCTACAATGAAAAAGAATAACATTATAATGAAACAGAATAACATTACAATAAAACAGAATAACATTACAATGGAACAGAATAACATTACAATGGAACAGAATAACACATTACAATGGAACAGAATAACATTACAATGGAACAGAATAACATTACAATGGAACAGAATAACACATTACACTGTTAACAGAATAACATTACAATGAAACAGAATAACATTACAATGGAACAGAATAACATTACAATGGAACAGAATAATATTACAATGAAACAAAATACCATTACAATGAAACAGAATAACATTACAATGGAACAGAATAACATTACAATGGAACAGAATAACACATTACAATGGAACAGAATAACATTACAATGAAACAGAATAACATTACAATGGAACAGAATAACATTACAATGAAACAGAATAACACATTACAATGAAACAGAATAACATTACAATGGAACAGAATAACATTACAATGGAACAGAATAACATTACTATATTTGATTGATTGATAAAAGTTTAATGTCCAAGAACAAACATAAGGTACTTATTTAGGATAATGTATTCTTAATGAGCAGGTCCAAGGCAAAGAGTCTGTAATCCAGTGGTTGTTTTTTGAATGCTTTTATTGTTAAATAAGTAAAATGTTTATTATTTTAGTGTAAAACAGGATTTAGGGTTTCTCTATGGCTATTGTTTGTATTCTGTCACCCTTTGTGTCTAATATACCTTACTATATGGTATGAGTGTTGCTCATTGTTGAAGTCTGTGTAGTTATTTACATCCACATCCTTCAGTGGATAGTTGTCTCATTGGCAATCATATCAAACCTCCTGACTTTGGTCTTCAGTGGATAGTTGTCTCGTTGGCAATCATATCAAACCTCCTGACTTTGGTCTCCAGTGGATAGTTGTCTCGTTGGCAATCATATCAAACCTCCTGACTTTGGTCCTCAGTGGATAGTTGTCTCGTTGGCAATCATATCAAACCTCCTGACTTTGGTCTTCAGTGGATAGTTGTCTCGTTAGCAATCATATCAAACCTCCTGACTTTGGTCTTCAGTGGATAGTTGTCTCATTGGCAATCATATCAAACCTCCTGACTTTGGTCTTCATGGATAGTTGTCTCATTGGTAATCATATCAAACCTCCAGACTTTGGTCTTTAGTGGATAGTTGTCTCATTGGCAATCATTTCAAACCTCCTGACTTTGGTCTTCAGTGGACAGTTGTCTCATTGGCAATCATTTCAAACCTCCTGACTTTTATATAATGTCATCATCAATACGCAAACCGAAAGACAAAAAAACAATAAATATTAATTCTTATGTCTTTGATTTGACAATACTGGAGATTAACCAATGACTGCCTGCATTTGAAGCTCCCTGGGTGACAATTCCTAAAGAAGACATTTACGTCAATTGGTCTCTGGTGGAGAGTTGTCTCATTGGTAATCCTATCTCCTCATCTGACTTTTTTTGACTGAGCCAGTAAATAAAATTAAAATATATACTATCTAAATAATGCCATACAATTTCTAATTATTCAATCAAATTCCAATACACAGAGTGTTAGCTTTTAGATTGCATCATTCTCACTTTAAGCCTTCAACAATGAAAATCAATACTTTCAAACAACTAGATGGCCAAGTATGTTACGTAATACTAATTTTTTCTCTCTCTGTTGCTCCACAGAGTGCTATAAAATCATTTAATTCTGCCTATGTAATTTAAGTTTCCACTAAAATATCATGGTGACATTCTACTGGATTTAATTTGACAATATGTATTAACTCTATGCACTTTTATATTCCAAGATCCATAGTTTTATGCTGGTATAACCTTTCATAATGTGTTATATTTTCTCTTTAATGTAGCTCTCTGTTGACACATTAAACCCACTGACGTCTGCTGATTTTGGACAAAATTACATTTGGTAATACCAGTATAACATAATTAAGGGTCTGGATGGAGGGTCCTTCATTCCTTATTTCTTTATTTTTTAGACTATTCTTTATTCATTCTGACCTTTATTCTCTATTCTTCATTTTTCAGCACTCCTTTATTCTCTATTCTTGATCTATTTTAACCCTTATTCTGCACTTTTTGACTATTATTCTCTAATCTGTAAACCAGACCCTCATAATTCACAATGTTCAGCATTGCTTTAAAATTTTCATTTCACATGTACTTCATATACAGTAAAACCTGTCAAAACTGAACTCAGTGTAAACTGTGTTATTTCCAACTTACACAACAGTGAATATTCATTGGTGAGGACTTCCATAAATGTGTAAGCGCTCAAGATGTCCTCATTAAAAAATAAAAATAGTGCCAAGTAAAATTGAGAATGGAAATGAAGAATGTGTCAAAGAGACAACAACCCGACCATAGAGCAGTACCAAGTGTACCTTTTAACATGTTATGCCAAACATTATAATCTTTTTTATTCAAAGGAGTAAGCCCTATACATCCAATTTGAATCCGCCACTAAGAGGTATTACCTAAAATACAAATAAACTGCTAATTTCTACGTCATATGGTCTCTGGTGGAAAACTGTCTCATTGGCAATCATACTATTTCTATGAGGCTTTAAACTACTGAAATCCCAGATGCAGATCCTTTTAAAATAACCTGTTTCTCAAGTCTTACCTTTGGGGCTTTCCTTCCCCCTCCTGCTCTGTCCCCTCCACCATCATGAGGGCTGAAATTAGAAAACAGAATGTTTAGGAATAGAATTATTCTATATTTCTATACTTTGTTAACATACTTTCCATTATCTTGATTTAAAAAGTAATCGACCTCAAAAATGAGTATTCTCTAAAAGCTGGAACTAATTTTTGGTTTCAGTGCCAAAGTTTCTACAGACTTGGTCAAGAAACTGTCCAAGAAGAAAATAAGTATTAAACTAAAGGTAACCATTAGACAATGCAAATATTCTGAACTAATGATCTTCAGTTTTTTATCTTCAAGGATTTGTTGGGTTGATGTCTCTGACACTAGAAAATGATTTCATAATACTTGTGTTGGGGGAAGGTCTATTAATGTTTTAAGTTAAAGATAGTCCTAATGACTACTCACATTTGACAAAGCATGTAACCTCATTCATTATGAAAATCTCTTTTTACAATATATCACAAGTACCAATGTTTTCCAATATAAAACAAGCATTCTGAGAGTATTGCATGGTAATACATAGTCCCCTACCGGGTAAAAATTCATTATACTGGAACAAAAAGCTAACTTGTTCTATAACTTGTCATGGTGTAAACAAAAAGAAAATATCAAGTCAATATCTTCAAGCATGACTAAAAACAGTGTGGAAAACTGATTAAATGAGAGAATTTTTCAAGTCCAAGGACAATAACACAGCACAAAATTATCGGACCGAAACAAAATTTCTTGATCTGTATAACTTGTCATGATAAAACTATATACCAATTATCAATCAATATCTTCAAGCATGATGAAAAAAAGTGTGGAAAACACTTTAACATTAGATATGATTAATAGTTCTCTAAAATTAGATATGATGTAATACAGTGTATATCTATTTTCAAATTATAATCAAATATAATTATTAGTTCCAAATATTTTTTCTTTTATTTGTCACAAACTAATACAGATTTGTAACTTATCTATAAAATGTCAACAATTTTTATCTACACAATGTAATGTAATACATACATTAATAAAAATAGATTATTATCTAATTAAAGGATTTCATTTCATAATTTTTTTTTTATATATATGTAACACTCCCAAACGTGTCCATCCCCCCAAACGTGTCCGATTCCCCCAAACGTGTCTATTTCCCCCAAACGTGTCCATAAAAGTTGATATCGCACAAACGTGTCCGATTTCAAAACCCCCAAACGTGTCCGATAATTGTTATTCTCCAAAACGTGTCCACTGTTTAACGCCAGAACGTCTCACGTCTTTTAGCGCCAATACATGCATGTCCTAAATGAAATCAATAACGTTTACGGCAATTCTGTGATGGGGGAAACAGTTGATGATGAGGTAGTCATTTGTTAGCATAAGTTTGTTCAATGCCGGTTGTTTATGATTATCATAATTGCAAATTTAATCTGTAACATATGAATTAACGTTTGACTGAAATTGCTTATTGTCCAGTTGCAAGTATTTCATGCTCTTTTAGAGCGAACATACAAATAATTCTAGTACAGTTGAATTAAACTATGTAAATTATTTTGTACTAATAAATTCCGATGATGCCTGTAACTGTTATATTAATTCGAATATTGCACGGCGGTCTTTCAGCAGAATTGACTTCCCTTTTTTCAACAGTTCTGATATTTTAAAAGCTCTTCAAATCATAAACTGGTTATCAGGTTTTTTAATAAATTTTAGGTTTCGAGCATCACTAAAGACACACGAACAAGAGACATAACGTCCGGTGCCAAATATTTCATGCATTATTTGAACGACATTATGTTAACAATAAATACTGTAGATACAAATGAAGGTTCTATCATCATACCGGGAGTTTAGGATTTGGCCTATTTTTTTACGGTTATTCGGGATTAACTCTAGTTGGGATTTTAATGTAAAAAATTTAGGCCGAAACTGACGCCCCCACTTTTACCCAGGTTATACTGCCAGTTTAAAAAAGATCTAAAGTAATTCATTTCTATTTTTTAATGAAATAGTAAAATGATTATACGTTAATGAAAAAGCAATAACCAAATAAACTACGTATTTATAATATGGACATTTTTTTATGACTTCAGTAAGAAACTACTTCAATCTCCGTTATGTAATAGAGGCCGTTTTAAAAAGTTGCTGAAATTTTAAAAAAAATGTTGCCTTCCAAAATACAACTGTTGGCACTATGAAAGAGTGATTTGCTACAAAGGTTTTAATGCGCTGAGTAAGTGACATTCTCCCTACACGAGGTATCCGATTTAATATCTACAATTTAACTGTGCATGGCTGCTTACATTTACATCCAACATAGCCGAACGGACGCCTCACTTTTACCCAGGTTATACTGCCGGTTTAAAAAAGACCTAAAGTAATTTATTTCTAGTTTTTAATGAAATAGTAAAATGAGTATCTTTAATGAAAAAGCAATAACCAAATACGTATTTATAATATGGACACGAATGATAGTTCCAGGAAAAGAAAAAGAAATAAGCTTGATATGGACACGTTTGGGGGATTGGGCACGTTTGGGTGTTTAATAAATAAATGGACACGTTTGGGCGTTTATACAAATGACACGCTTTGGCGCCATTTTACAACTAGACATGTTTTGCAGTTCAGTGACGTTATGTGGACACGTTTGGGGGAATCGGACACGTTTGGGGGGAAGGACACGTTTCTGAGTGTTACATATATATATATATATTTATAGCATTCAGAAAATTAGTTCATACAAAATAACAAACAAACCTGCCAAAAAATTCTTCAAATAATTTACCAAAGAATGTCTTTTAAAAAATGAGTTATCTCCCTTTGTACAGAAATATGGTTTAACATAGTACTCTAACATTAGATATGGTCCAGAGTTATGGTCCATAACTCTGGACTAAATCATCAGACCAGAACAAAATTCGAACTTGATCTATAAAAGAGGGACGAAAGATACCAGTCTCACTCGGGACAGTCAAACTCATATCAAGTCAATATCTTCAAGCATGACTAAAAACAGTGTGGAAAACTAATTAAATGAGTGAATTTTTCAAGTCCAAGGACAATAACTCTGCACAAAATTATTGGACCGAAACAAAATTTCGAACTTGATCTGTATAATTTGTCATGGCAAAACTATATACCAAATATCAAATCAATATCTTCAAGAACGAAGAAAAAAGTGTGGAAAACTGATTTGCCGGACTGACGGACGAACAGACAGACGGACAGAGAGCAAACCTTAAGTCCCCTTCGACTTAGTTGGTAGGGGACTAATAAGGAGATGTGGTATGATTTCCAAAGAGACAACCCTCCTTGACCTGAGTGACCTAAGGACAAGGGTGTCTACTGGTCTTAGAACCATTGGGTTGAAAAAGATGTTGTGAATTAAATCACTGAAAGTATAATATAAAATTTGTTGTTGTTTATAAAAAAAAATGTTAAGGCTACAATACAGCTTAGATTGATTTTGTGTTGTTCACTTATCCACAGTGGAGGTAGTCACTTTTGTCTTATACTTTGAAGTGGTTTAGTTCAGATGTTTCTTTCATTTTATCATGACTCTTACAAGTATAAATCTAATGCTATAAACAGTTGAGTGTTTGTACTTAACAATAAAATCGAGAATGGAAATGGGGAATGTGTCAAAGAGACAACAACCCGACCAAAGACAAGAAAACAGCCCAAGGCCACCAATGGATCTTCAACACAGCGAATAATCCTGCACCGCTGGAGGCGGGCTTCAGCTGGCCCCTAAACATAAATGTGTACTAGTTCAATGAAAATGGACGTCACACTAAACTCCAAAACAATAAATACATTAATACTTAGATTTTCTAAAAAAGACCTAAATCCTGATCTGATTTTTGTACATTATTCTTGATTTCAGGTCTATTGACTCATGACTTTCCAATCATGTAGAAAAAGACCTGACTCGATCTTGCTTTAATTAAACAATTAATTCCTTCAAGCCAATCCAATAAATATATTTTTTATCTGACTGACTCGGAGATGTCGTTTAGTACAAAATAGCCTTTCTCTAACTTTTAATCAGCATGATAGAATCCTTTACTAATTCCTTAGATAAATATTTACAAAACATAATATCTAAATGAAAATCAGCAGCGACAATTGTAATGATTATTGACAGTGGTTAATCCTGTCCCTTGTCAGACAGATGAAAACATTGATAGAAAATAATGGTCAATTTTCTAGCAATTAATTTGTCTCTGAAGGCTAGCCATAAAATGATGAAACAGGTTACAATCATTCTACTTTTTTCTAATGATACAACTTTACAATAAAGAGACACGCGACCACAGAGTAGACTAATCAAAAAGCTGGACACTAATTTGAAATGTATTACGTATCTGGTCATTTCATAATGTCCAGACTATATACAATTGTCGTTAGGTTTAAATCAAAGATGTAGATGATGAGTAAAAGAAAATGTGGTGTAACCATCAATCATAAACCAACTACACATATTTGATCTAAAATACTGCCAGAAGGACAACTACCTTACAATCATAAACCAACTACACATATTTGATCTAAAATACTGCCAGAAAGACAACTACCTTACAATCACAAACCAACAACACATATTTGATCTAAAATACTGCCAGAAGGACAACTACCTTACAATCATAAACCAACTACACATATTTGATCTAAAATACTGCCAGAAGGACAACTACCTTACAATCACAAACCAACAACACATATTTGATCTAAAATACTGCCAGAAGGACAACTACCTTACAATCATAAACCAACTACACATATTTGATCTAAAATACTGCCAGAAGGACAACTACCTTACAATCATAAACCAACTACACATATTTGATCTAAAATACTGCCAGAAGGACAACTACCTAACAATCATAAACCAACTACACATATTTGATCTAAAATACTGCCAGAAAGACAACTACCTTACAATCATAAACCAACTACACATATTTGATCTAACATACTGCCAAAAGGACAACTACCTTACAATCACAAACCAACTACACATATTTGATCTAACATACTGCC